GGCCCTCCGCCCCCGGTGGTGGCGCACGCCAGGGTCCTGGAAGGCTCCCGTGGGCCCTGAGCAGCCAGGGCGGTCACAGGTCACCCTTAACCTCGGGGCCGCAGCAGGGGTTGGGCGGAGGTCCTCTTTTTCCCTCTGTAGCCCTGACAAACGCGAGGATATGCTGGGGGCCCAGCCCAGGACGCCCCAGCCCGGGAGGCCCCAGCCCAGGGCTGGCCAGGGAACAGCTGTGCATGGCAGTTGCTCGCCGCGCTGCCTAAGGCCCAGGGTGGTCTGACCAGTTTGAACCCGACTCTCACTTCCAGAATTCCGATTGTGTGTATGGTCACGTATGTCGTGACGGCCCTGGAGGTGGGGCCTTACCTGATTCTGCTACCTTGGAGATGTGCACGCCCTGCTCTGCAGCCATGAAGCCCAGGATGGAGAAGACCACAAAGCCAGCAAAGAAGCTGGTCCCGCTGTTGATGAGGGCGAGGATGATGGCATCCCTGGGGGCAAGTGTGGACTGGTTAGGCCGCCTGCTGTTTGCAGGTGGGCAGGGTGCGACGGGCATGGCTGGTGGGGCTGTGGTGCCTACTTGTAGCAGTTGTTGTTGAAGCGATTGTAGCTGCCCAGGGCTGTGAGGGCCCCCAGGCCGATCGCGTAAGAGAAGAAGATCTGAGTCCCGGCATCTATCCACACCTGGAGGAGAGGGACGGGGAGGGCATGGGCATGACGGCCTGCTGGGCTCTACCCCGCTCCCCCAGCTGCGTCTCGTCACCTGGGGGGACCCCAGCTTCGACCAGTCAGGCTTGAGATAGTAGATGATGCCATCCAAGGCGCCAGGCAGCAGCACGCCACGCACCAGCAGCACGACCAGGACCACGTAGGGGAATGTAGCAGTGAAGTACACGATCTGCAGGGCCAAGCAGCTCAGAGGGGCCTGCACCGCCTCCCGGGCCCCGGCCTGAGCCGGGGAGTCTCTCCCCAGCAGGTATGTGCAGAGCCAGGGGTTCCCCCAAAGGAAGCTAAGGATGAGGCCGGCACGCATCGGGGCCGAGGGCGGGAGGGGCAGGCCCGGGGCCTGGCAGGTGAGGGTCCCTGGGTGCCTCGAACGCTGTGTGGGGAGGGACGTCCATGGGGAGTGGCAGTGCCTGAGAGCTACTGGAGCGTGTCCAAGAGAGGACAGGAAGGTGTGGGGGCCAAGCCCTGTGGGTGTCAGCTGCGGGTAGGTTCTGTGCCTCCTCGGGAGAGAGGTGGGGTCCTTAGTAGCCGGGGACTATATCTGGGTCAGGCACAGAGGCGAGACACAGACAGCGAAGGCCTGTGCCGCCTCGTGCAGCGTCCAGGCTGGGCTGCCCGCTTGGCCAGCACCTGCTCTGGGGACTCTGCTGGCAATAGGACATGCTGGAGCCCTGCCCTCAGGGTCCTCGCCATGTCCCGCAGCCCTCCACACACTGTCTTGTTATGTGTCTGTTCATGCATGTGTCTCCCTACCCTGCCAGGGAGCCCCGGGGCATATCCAGACTTCCCTCTGGGTCCCAAAGGACAGACAGGCAGGTGAGAGAGACCTCCACAGAGCCGGCCCACCCAGACTGCCAAAACAGGTCAGAGTGAAATGAGGGGAGGCCAGGAGGGCGGGGTGAGGGGATCGACACAGGAAAGGGGCAGCTGGGCCTGGTGCCCCCCGCCCCCCAGGAGCCAAGGTTGCTGGCCCTTGGATTTGGAGGGTGAGGAGGAATTTCCAGCAGTGGGCGGGGGTTGTGGCCTGGACTTCGGTGCCCTCCTGGTCAGGCCCTGGGTCGTCACATCCTGCTGCACCACTTGTGCCCTGCAGGCACCCAACCCCCAGGGCAACGCCGCCCGCATCACTGCCCGCATCCCTGCCCGCCTCCAGAGGTACCTTTCCTGTAGATTTGACCCCCTTCCAGACACAGAAGTAGACCAGCACCCAGCAGGCCAGCAGACACAGGGTCACCTCCCAGTTGAGGGCCCCGGGCACCTCCAGCCCCCCTGATAGCCGCAAGACTTTGTTCCTAAGGGAGGGAGACTCCGTGAGGGCTGTGCTGGCAGAGGACACAGTGACTGTGCTGTTCCCTGAGGGGTGGTGGCTCCTCCTTCCCGCAGCCCTGGGTCCAGGAGTTCCCTCCTGTTCACTTGAGCTGGGCCTGGGGATACTGCAGGGTGGCACCCCCACCCCACCCACTACGTGCAGCCCCACCTTCCCCACCAGGCAGGCGTGACAAGGACAGTGACAGATGTCACTGAGTGAAGGAGCAAGGCCTGTCCCAGCCCCAGGCTCTGGCCTGGGTGCTCCCCAAGGACAGACAGGGTCTGGGAGGGACTGTTCCACATCCCTGGACTCATGTCCCCAGGGTCCTCGTGTCCCCAGGGCTGGGCCACGTGTGAGAGACTCACTCCCAGAACTCGATAACAGGGGACCGGCGGTCTGCAAGCTGGTCACACGTGAGGTTGGCCAGGCTGGCATTGGCACAGTCTTCGTGGCGGAAGATCTCCACACAGTCAGGAGTGTTCCAGGTGTGGCCACACGTGGCCCAGGGCAGCGTGGTGGTGAAGGACTTCACCAGGTAGTAGAAGCCCCAGGCCAGCACCATGATGTAGTAGGTGTTGCAGTAGAAGACGATCACCATGGAGGCGTAGCCCAGGCCTGTGACACAGGGCGCCCTTTGGTGTGGATTCTCTCCCGGCCCCTCCCCGGCACCCCCGCTTGTCCCCTAGCTGGCCCCTAGTGGCAGCATCCTCCCCTCCCACCATCCATCCTGCCAGAGCCTTCTCCGCCGTGTACTGGGACTGGCCCCGGCACTGGGCTGACTTCCCGACCCACTCATGCCTGTCTCCTCCATCCGCCCCCAGGTCTCAGGCCCAGCCCTCCCCTCCCCCATCTGCTCCTTCAGGCCTGCTGATGTCCAGCCTCACACACCTGGCCCCTTCTCTTGGTCCCACTGCCACCACGGCGGTTCCAGGAGGTGCAAGCCTCCACCCGGCCCCCAGTGGCCTCCAGTACACAGTGGCTGGGGGCACTTTTTAGTGACCTGAGGCGTGTGGGAGACAGTCACCCCTCAGTGGGCGACTTCTCTGTGCCCCAGCTTCCCTGGGGACAGTACAAGTGTCGGGTAGGTCCTGTTCCCAGCCCTGCCCACCGTCTCATCCCACCTCCCCGAGTCCACTGTGTGGTCTGCATGTCTTCTGGGTTCCCCCTTGCGGCTGGTGCTTAGGACAGAAAAGTAGTTCTCAAGTGGGTGCCAGTCGCGTTCTGCTCCCAAGCCCTTGCCCTAGTGGTGGGAAAGGGAAGGGGTCTCTGAGGGGACGAGGCCGGCCCAGGGTGCTCACCTTTGAACAGGGGACAGATGTTCCAGACGTTGATGCTGCCGGCCTTCATGAACTGGCCCAACGAGATCTCCAAGAAGAAAATGGGGATTCCCCCCACCAGGGCGATCAGAACGTAGGGAATAAGGAACACACCTGCGGGCGGAGGCACAGGGTGGGCTCAGGGGACAGTGCCCCTGAGGGCCTCAGGCACTCAGACAGGTGGCACCTAGCCGGGGTGGGGACCTTGACCCTACACCCCTCTCCCCAGCCAGGCTGCTCAGCCCAGACTCCAAAGCCCTGAGAAGCCAGGGTGGCGGCCCTGGTGAAGGCCGGGTAGAGTCCAGGCCCCATCATAACTTCCCACTGGTGAATCAGTGTAGGGGTGGCCACTGACTCAGAGGCCAAGGTTCTGAGTCTGTGGAGAAGAGGGGCTGTGGCCATCCCTGGGCCACTGCAGCCCTATTTCCTGGGCTGTGGGGGACCCTAGGGCCACAGGCTTCCACCCTCACTGTCACCTGGGGTGACCTGATGGGCATGGAGGACACACGCACTCATGCATGCTTGTGCTGCAGTTCCCCGTTCGCCAGGCAGTCGGAAGGAGCGGGGAGGGCACATGCGTGTGTGTGCGCGTGCGTGCGCCAAGGGTGGGAGCTTGGGCTGGGGGCTCGACCGAAGGTGGGGAGCCCCGACGTGCCTGCCTGCAAGTGTGAGGTCCAGCTAGGAGGGCAGGCGGGACTGTCCTCTGCTGGTGGGGGTGTCGTGTGCAAGGACAGAGGGAGACAGGTGGGGGGAAGGGACTAGGCTCCAGGGGAGGCAGGCAGGGCAGACACAAGTTTGGCCAGTGGGCTGGGGTGGGGTAGTGGAAGGGAGGGGAGACCTGGGCCCCAGCAGCTCCCTCCACCTCCCTTCCTCCTCTGTCCGCCTCCTACCCCCGCCCCTGGCTTGGCTGTGGCCACTACTCAGAGGCTGAGCTTGGCTGCAGCCCTCACGCTCCTGGTCCCAGCATCCTTCTGGTGCGTGACCTTGGGCAGAGGCCTTTGCGCTGGGCCTCAGTTTCCCACTCATCGCCCAACGACTTCGGCCTCCCAGCAATCGCAGTGCCGTTCTGCAGTCACAGGACACACGCGTGCCCATCGCTGTTGCTAAGCTGGGCTTCCGCGGGCGGGCATGGGGTGTGCATGCGGTGTGCCCAGCAACGGCGCCAGGCGGGCCAGGCCGCAGGCTTCCCAAGCCTGGCTCGGGCACCCAGTGTTCCAGGCCCAGGCCAGAGGGGAGGGGAGGGGAGGGGAGGAGC